GACAACTCTGCCGCTTTCTGTCGCCATTCACATGCTGTTGTGCTCTGGAATGAGGCCATGGAGGGAAGGGCAAAGTCAGACAGGCGGTGCCACACACACACACACACACACACACACACATATGCAAAAAAAAAACACACACACACACACACACACACACACACATACACACTCAATGTCAAGCATGTACTGCAACATACAGGCACAAGAATGCAGGCGCATAAACACACACATATATGAGCACAGACAAAGAATTGCTCTTTGGATGTATGCACAAGAACACACATAAATGGGACAATGCACAAGAGCAGAGATGAATACAGATGCAACAAGAAATCTCACACACATACACACACACACACACACACACACACACACACACAAAATGCTCACACTTTACCTTAAAAGCATATATTTATAAATAAATATCTAATATATAAATATATATCCAACTGAAAGTCAAATGTCATTAAAGGTTACCATCATGTGCTGTATCTGACAAGCTATGGTTGAGAAAGAGCGAACAAGGGGCGCAAAATGCGTCGATGTCCCGCGCAAGGAGTGTGTTGCCTGTCCTCATCTTACTACTATTACTGTAAGTGCATCCATAAACAAGCACTCTGCACACACCTGACAAAACAACAACCTTGAAGCATATCATAAAAATAAAGGAGAAAACTAAATTATCATCTTACCCCGTGTTGATGGAAAATCAGCCGGTGCTGTCGGTTAGTGAGTTAGTTAGTTCTCTCAGTGCGGTGATCAGTCAGTCAGTCAGTCAGTCAGACGGGCAGGATGAGAAGGAGACTGCGGAGGATGGAGATGGTCTGTGAGCCTCCACTCTCAGTTGTTCAGTCTGCAGTGACTGGAGCTGCGCCCTGCAGCGGCCGCCGGTATATGACACACACACACACACACACACACACACACACACTCATGGATTGGAGGTTATGCATGTGTGCGTGTGCTAATCTGTGAGGAGATTATGGCGAGCGATGGTTTGACATCATCACCATCAATGTGCGTTTTGGCAATGCAACAAACGCCACAAACAACACTTGGTATCATTTTTAAGCTTATATAGTGTTTTTTTGTTAAATAATGACAAAATTGTGCTATTTTTAATCTTGTGTGACAAACAATTCTAAATAATCCCATTATAATCTACACTTGATAGGTAAGATTTAAATCAGAACCGGTTCTTTTTCTTGGCACATTCAGTATAAAATGGTTTGGTTTCCTTTGTTTACAAAAAGTGTCCTATCTCATATAAATCTGTTGTAATTAGTGTATTCTTATTATCCTCGCACTGGTAACATTCTCATGCAGTGTGGTTTCTCAGAAAGTGGTGTGGCACAAGTGGAATGTCATAAATGCGGTTTGGTTTCAGCTCACTCACGGAGAATTACCTGCGTGTTTCTCTGGAACAAGGAGCCAGGAAGGTGTGCGTGTGTGGAAAAAGGACTCAACAAGGAAGCGCTCAAGATCACTGCATAATTTCACATCATCATCATCATCATGATCATGTAATCATCATAGTTTACATAACATTTTACATTCCAGCGCAGTACAGTACAGTAGTAGGTTTACTTAAAGGGTTACTACAGTGCTTTATTACTGCACTTTCATGAAGTGGATTTAAAGGACTAGTTTGTAGGATTTAGCGACATCTAGCGGTGAAGTTCTAGATTGCAACCAACTGAACACCACTTGCGTTAATATCTGATGACCTGGGAATGAGAGTGTGCAGGAGAAACTATGGTGGCCGCGAAAGGCCCTGGCTAGAGCTGGCGTTTGGTTTGTCCATTCTGGGCTACTGTAGAAACATATCGGTTCAACGTGGTGGACTTGGTAGATGTGGACCCGCTCCCTCTGTATGTGAAAACAGATCATTCTACAGGTGATTACATACTAATGAAAACATACCTATTATTTTTATATTCCATTTGCCTATAGATGTTAATAGATGCTCCAAAATGCCAATAGATCCTCCTTAATGTTACACACTGGACCTTTAAGATAAGAAAGGTCTAAATGAAAGCAGCACAAACCAACATATCCGGACTTCTAGACCCCAGAATGGGTTATGTTCTAAGGGGATTCTATATTTTATATTGGATAGTGTCTTTCATTAAAGCCTGGTCACACCAACATATAAAACAATGAAATTTAGCAGTTTATTAGAACTGAATCCCAGAGATTAGTGGATTTGCTCATGGACCCAAATCTGTGCAAATGTTTTAGGTCAAGTTAAACTTGAATTTTGAAGAAAGTCATTTTGACAGTGCTGGGAACAAAGAGGTGCACGGTCCAAAGTATTGAAATCTATTGTAGCTTATTAGCTATCTTGCACCATTCACTTTTATTTAACCTCCTTTAATGGAGTATACAATGAACTTCTCCACAAAGAGTTAATGGTACTGTACGTTTCTTAAATAAACTATGTGAACTTACTGTCATGTTAGGATCTTAGCTAGTAGAAGAAGCTAGTAGAAATGATGTACAATCCCCAAAACTAGGATTACATACCAGTAAGAGGTACACTGTACTGTCACTTTTAAGGATGTCACTTTTAATTTGAAATTTGAAAATTCATTCAGACTTGATTCATTTCAAAGGTTTAATGACCTGTTCCAATTCAAAATGTACAGTCCATAAGCATGTCTATGTGCTCCACTGTCAGCTTCACCTGGTATGTCCTATTGACGTGTCAGTAAACTAAGCTAGTAATGTTGTGTTTACTACCAAAATGGAGGACACACAAGCAAAGCAGAGCAAAGCCGTCCTGAGCAACTGCAACACCAAATGTATCTGAGAAGCAGTGTGCTTCTGTAGACTTTGCACGAAGCAATGACAAAAAATCTGCAGACTCACTTTCTAATGTTAGCCTGTCACCCAAGTGTGGCAGTGGAGGCATATGCAGATGAGCAAAGGAACATCAAGTGTACAACCTTATCTGACTGCTACTATCTGCACACTCAGCTTCAGTAGGCCCCTTGCCAGAAGCTCCAAAATACAGCTACAGTAGGTACGTTTACCAACTAGCCCTGAGAGTAGTCTTTACACCCCCAAAGCCTCTACAAACAAATATTTCTCAAATATGCAGACTTATTTAGCTGTGCCACTTTCTTGCGAATAGGCCTTTAGAATGCCCCTGCCTCAAAATGTGAATTTCTTTTAAACGCCATGCTGCCTCTCTTTTGAACCCAAGTTCTAAAAAACTACCTCAGAACCACAGAATACATTATACGTCATATTATTAGGCTTAATATGCCCTTTATCTGAACCTTTATCATTTATTTTCTAAAATCTTTTGCAGAGTTAGCTCAATGAAAATAAATCTTGTGTAATGTTATTTTACAGGTCCTTTATTCAGTATTTAACTTATAATATAATGAGTGCAGGATGTTTACTCTCCACAGTTACTCTCTCCTCAGAGCATGACAGCAAACATGTCATGGAGACCTTGGCTGATGAACCCAGACCTTTCCATAAATTCCAAGCATTCAAATCCCTCTACCAAAACCACATTACTGACAATAAAAAAGGAACCACTGCAGAAAAGTCAGGCATATGACCTGCATTAGAAAGGGTATGTTTCTGATAATGCGTGAAGAGGAATGTGCAAAATGAAAGGTTGGCTGCTGCACGAGTAAAAGGGTCATTCTGAAAGGAAATGTGGGAGTTAAAGGGAAAGTAATTCCCTGCATGCTTAGCCTTATTAAATATGTAGCACAAAGGAAATGTGCTCTCTTTTACTCTTTAGCCAGACCCCCTCTGGCTGCCAACCAAGTGGTGCATATCAGCCTGCACATTCAGGTAAAAATCCTGAAATGGGCAACATGGCCTCATAGAAAAGTAATTCATCAGAGGGGATTATAATATTCAAGACATTTCTGCTGCTGAGTTTCTTCCTCTGACCTTGACCACCCTGAGGCTGTCATCTCTTCTTCCTCAGCCATGAGCAAATACATACCCTCTCCTGTTCTGCACACCCCGCCCTCCCGTTGCTTTAAATATTGAAGATGGATAATGGTGTTCGCCTTCATCCAGAGGCCAGGCAGATAGCTTGGAGATGGAGAAGCAAGCACACACTTGTGTAAAAGCACATGCATGTCCTTACTCATGCTAAGAAACACAAGATGCCTCATTGAGGAAGAAAAAAAAGCTATTTTTACCCACTTTGTTGCTTTGTATGACTGCTTCCTTCCTGGCCTTTAATGTGAAATACCATAGCTGTGTGAAGAAGTATGCAGATGATGAGTACTTTTTTGTCCCAAGTCTATATTTGTGTTGAAGTTAGAACTATTAATTTATAATAATTTCAAACCCATATTTTATGGTGTAATCTCAATTTTTAATTCTTCAGGGTTAGGGCTGAGCAGGTAACAGTGGAACTCCTTGTATTTTGCATCAAATAATGAATTCTGGGATATCGTTGGAGTAGTTGTAACATTGCTATTTGTAGTAGAGAAATAAGGGTACTTGCTGACGAATTTTGAGAGCTCTGACAAAAAAATTCAAGAGACACCCATCCCCGGCCTCCCTGGTTTTACTGTGAAGCCACTGACTTCATCAATACACAATGATCACTGTGGTTACACTGCATACCATCAGATACATGCTTTCCACAGTACGTCTTAGTAACTCAGATAACTCGGACTTCTTTGACATCAGTATACCCTCCCTGCCTCCTTAATCTAAATCCCCATTCAATCTGTAACAACAGCACAGATGTTGCATTACAGCAGGGAATAAGGTGCTGCTCGGTGTCATGTCATAATCACCTTGATAATTATAATCACTTGAAACCGATGGACACTTTAATATCAAATATTTCTTTCAGCAGTCTTCACACTTGGGCAGTATTAACATTAATTTGAACTCTCACAGCGATTAAGAATTTTTTAACAGCTTCAGAAATATATATATATATATATATATATATATATATATATATCAATTTTGCTTTACATCAAAGAAGAGATCTTAAATTTGAAGAATTTTGAGGTATTTTTTAATGTACCTTGATTTGTTATGTCTTGAAAGGATGCAGTCAAATAAAACAAAACAGTACACTCTGAATTAACCCCGCCTCCAAAAAACAAAGGCAAATGTTCACAAAAAACACAAAAGATTGTAAAACTAATTGACCCGAATAGGCAAGCCAAAATAAATACAAAGCAGTGTAAACAAAATATCTTATGTTCATTAAATAAAATTGTAAACTTAGAGATTTTTTTATACTGTAAATAGTGCAGAAAAAACTGGTGATCACAGTTTGGGAAGACTTTAGAGAGTTGGTTGGTGGTGCTGGTGGTGACGTGTGTGTGTGTGTGTCTGAGGGAAGGAAGGAGGGTTACATGTGGTAGACCAACAGATGGACACACATGGTTGACCATCTGCATGGGCGACAGAATCGGTTTGCCTTGACAGTTTTTTTCTGGAGTGTGGGGGTTTAGGGAGATCTGTTGGCAGGTAAACACTGTCCTCCAGAGGAAGAAGACAAAGTAAGCATTGACAACAGCAGCTCGGGAGCGCCTGTGATGTTGGAGATAACTAACTGACAATATCTCCATTAGACTGTAGATAATCCCACACAGAGATTAATAAACTGTAGAGGGAAATTCATTAAATGCAGCACAAACTGCGGGATAAAGAAAAGATTATAAATCATAGGAGGCCTTGGGACTGCAATTCGGGTCGTGGTGAGGTGTCGATGAATTACGGGGGCCCTTTTAGTCAGGAGTGTCCAAACGGAGCCTGTGTGTTCAGGGGTCTCTGGACAATGACAGCGTTGGCCAAATCTGCTTCTTCTAGACTTAATTCTTTGTTGTTGAGCTCTCGGAAAGGAAGTGATGTTGTCAGGACGAAAGGTGGGCAGCTCCTCTGGGAGCGTGCCACGAAATCTTGTACATCTGTGATCCTAGAAAAGAATTTGAGACAGAATAAAAGAAAGATCAGGACGTAGTAAAGAAAGGCAGAGCTGGAACTGTTACTCATGTCTGTTCCTGTCCAGCAGCAAAGCATTGATTCCGATTGCCTGCGAAATACTCTACTCTCTCTTGTGACACATGATTTCTCTCTGAGGCACTATACTAGTAACATAATCTATTATTAATCACCACCCAGCATATGCAAGCCATCCTATGGCAGCCCTACTCCTCACTGAAGGTTAGAGGGACTCAGTCCTCTCCATCCTTAAGCTACAAACTCTGTTATATAAATGCTGCATTCGAGTTACGCAATCCCTCTCTGGGGATTTTATAGATCCACTTGGTTGCTACATCTCAGATTATGTTTTCTCTAGTCCCATGCGCTGTGGCAGGGGATATAACATGCACCATGCGTTCAACTCCAGCAGACTAGAACAAAGCATTACGTAATCCTCAAACAAACCCCCTCACCACCTCCCGAGCTAGTACAAACAAAAATCTTTTGTCATCCCTTGAACTACTTCTTCCTTGCGATGCTTGAGATTAGGGGACTTACAGACAGTGTAGTCGGGGTAGAGTTAGAGTTTTAATATGTAGATGTTCTATATGTGAAGCTCAGATGTGGAGAGATGTGTTTAGGCCTTGACATTGCGATACGCACCGATGCGATAGGTTAAACCTCTGCACCAATCTCCTGCCATCAGCCAACCAGATCTGCAGGGAGGTAACAGGAAGGGCGTGGTCTAGTGTTACCATGGGAATAGGAAGAGATTCTCCATCCTCGTGCACAGATGGTGACCTGGCCACTACTCTTGGTGCAACGCTGCGAGTGAAAGGAATACATAACAGATTAAGAACAAGTTAAAAGTACATACAGCATATGCAATGCAATTATTTCTCATTTATTACTGACTGCTGTAGACAAACTCATGTTAAAATATTTTTTGGAATCTGGAAGATTTAGTATTCATACAGTGGTGTTTTGAACATGAGGGTTTCAGTTTGTCGGGCTGACTGCTTGGTCAGATTTGCTTGTGGGTTTTTTCATACCTGAATATAGAAGGACACCTAGTGGTATAAAGTGGTATAGTATCTTTGAACTTCAGACTTGAGACAGACACTACATTGTTTTGCAAATTTTTAAACTCTTATTTGATAGGGACAGCTAAGGATAGACAGGAAATAGGAGAGAGATAGAGGCTTGATTGAACCTGGGCTCTGGTTGAATTTTCAAAAAAAGTAGGTCCTTTCCTAAACACTTTTCCTTGACATTGATGGAAAACATCCATGCGGTCAAGGAAAGATGTGAAGGAGAATTCATGAGGACTAAGGAAAAGACAACTGTGGTACTGAGACGATCAGACTGCACTTACATATGCTACGTAAGTATGTGATAGCAGATGATAATGACATGTGTCTGTCTGTCTACTGTGGTAAACCTACAATGTTCCGAAGATAGACTACAAAAATGCATTATAGCCACTGAAAACAGGGTGAGCTGGGGCTGGGGCGCCCCAAGGCACTATACTATCAATTATTAATGACAGTTCTTGGATGTTTATCTGCAAAATAATTATTTTTTTAAAACGTCAAACCCTATATTAACATACATAATAATAATAATAATAATAATATTTACCTGATACTTGGTAGTATTATCACAACAACTATCTCTTACCTGCCAAGACGGTATCCTCGGCCGCTGAAGGGGTGAAAGGCCTTTTTCTTGGGAACATAATTTTCCTCCGTCAGATCCTCCACATTGATCTCCAGCTCCTCCTCCTCTGCTCTGCTCTCCCACTCTGTCGGAAGCTCCCTGGGACAAATTAAAGAGTCTAGTCAAATCAATCAATATGACAAATGAACACTAAGAACCATTATGCCTTATCTATCTTATGTCGCCTATTTGTGGTCTTTAGGAGGGGCATCTAATTTCCCACTGGGAGTTCATGGGGTTTGACTGTAAGACTGAACCAGCGACAGACATTATGCTACATTTGGGTTAAAGATAAGGTTCAGTTCTCTATATATACACTGTATGTATATAGTTCATACATTTTTCCTGTAATATTAAGCTTTAAAGGGGTTGTCTGCATTTGTATTTCATAACAGAAAAAGTGAACCCAGAGTTTCTTCAGGTTTCTACGAGTTAAAAAAAAGTACAAAGAAATTGATTCATTCTTCAATCAATTTCTAAAACCTGTTAAAATCATATTTAAGACATTTTAAGGCCTAAAATTCCCATTATGAGCAAGCAGAGAGAAATTAAACTAAAACTTATTTAACTTGCAGTATCAGTGAACCAGTGTAGAGCTACAACTCTTACTCAATTAATCAATAATTGAACTATAATCAAGCAACAGTTGTGATAATCCTTCAATCTTTGAGTTTCTTTTCACACAAAAATGCCCAAAGCATTTACTGATTCCGGCTTCTCAAATGACATTTGATATGCTCTAAGATTTTCTGTTGGTAATTTTTTACTCTTTTCTGATTTTTTTATAGACCAAATAATTAATAGACTGCTGTGAAACATAACCGGCAGATTAATCAATAATGAAAACAATCATTAGTTGCAACTCAACACCTGTGACAGCATCAAGTCGAGTCAAACAGGTTTTAAACTCACATTCAATAAACCCACATTATATACACATCCTATCTGACTACAATTAAAGTGTTATTTAATCTTTTTTATTAACTTCAGAAACAGACACAAGTTCCATTTTCTCAATATAACACAGAGCCAACAGGAACATCTAGTGATGAAGTGTAATACCACAATAAAATCAGAATGATAACACTGCTTTGTCGTTTGCTTTTGATCGGCTGGAGAATAATATGTGTTGCAATATCTGACCATCGCACGTAGCACTGTCCTCCATCTTTAACCGCTTGACAGTGTGAGAGGAACACATTATTGCTGTTTCAGGCCAGACAGAGACATATTAAAATCCAGAAATTTCAGCACTTGTTGAAGCAATTGTTGAGCGATCGATATCAATCAACAACCGTATCAGACCTCATGATATCATGGTCCCTTTGCGCTTTAAGGTTGTAAAATCTTACTTAACCCTAACCCTAACCCTGTCACTCACTCACCCCCTTTTGATAGCATCCAGGAAGTCTTGATTCTCTGGTATGGAGTAGCTACGAAACTCCTCATCATTTACGGTGAAGCCATCCTTCCACAGCCTCACCACCATCTCCACCTGGAATGAAGGCCACAAAAATGAGCCCCGATCAGACACACTGATCCCTGTATGTGCTGAACTCCAGAGCAAACCGAAGGCTCTGGTGGCCACATAGGTGTTGACACAAATGCGTAAGTGAGCACATATAACTAAAATGTCACACTAGATTGCTCTGCCTAACAATGTCACCTCTATTTTTAAAATGTCAACCTAAATGCATTTCCCCCGCTGCCGCTCATTTTTTATTTATTAAATACATATTGTATGATTTGATTAATACATATTACATTATTACAGTATGTGGGTGTTTGACATTATCATTCATTCATTCTTATGCTATATGCCTATAAATGCACTGTCAACAAACCTTAAAATATTATATGTTTTCCCATATCAGCTCAAAACGCACACTAGGAGATATTTGTCCCTCAGGATCTAGTGGTGTGAATTCATGTCTGACCTTTGATGTCCCCGAGGCATCGTAACAGATCTTCTCCACCTCATCAAGGAGGTCCTCTACCGAGAAACTTCGCCTCATTGGAGCCTCCTCTTCATTTTCTTCACTGACAACCCGTCAAGAAAAGCAGACATGTGCAACTCAGTCATTAAATGTCTTATTGAATCCAGCCTGCAGTTAGCCTGCAGGCGATTTGTACAGAAAAACTGCAATATTGAGTTCTCAATCCAGAAATGACATTAAGTGTTTAGGTTTGACACATTGCTGTCCAACCAAATTGATTTCTCATTCTAGACGCTTCACAGATTATACCATCCTACATAAAATCCAGTGAGTTGTACTGCTGTTGGAAGCTGTTGATTCACTACAGGACCAGAGGAGTTAAGGGAACTCTTAGAAACAATTGTTCCATGTAACTATGAGAGATTTTAAGGCAAACTTTCTCACAACCGCAATATATTGTGACTTACCAGTTCTCATCTTTCTCGCCACCCACAGTGTCAATCTCTTTCATGACGTTTTGTGTTTTCCATCTAAGAAAATAACAAGTGGACAGAGAAGACGTCATACAACGGGGCCTATCACCTTCGCAGGCAAGTTTGGTAAGCTATATTTTGAGGTAACCTTTATTAGCTTCAGGGTTTATTATGTAACACTGAATGTATTCCCTGGCATTCACGAGCACAATGTCGGTGTAAACTTCCAAAAAGAGCCAGAGCCATTTAAATAAAGCTCAATAACTTCCTCGATAAACAACCAAGCAGCCTAAAACGTTATCGTTAATTATGTAAGTGGGCGTCAGAAAGCCGTGGACGCGCACAGAGCCCACGACACAGGGCCTGTGTGTAACAACACGGCTTATAAACACATATACACACACGCACACGCACACATTAGAAGCTTATTTGCATGCCCGTATTAAGGTTAAGGTCAAATACTGATTTACCAGTCCGTGTTTTGTCGGTTAATCCCGGGCTACACATCTGCAGCCACAAGTTTCGGGCAGCGTCTCTTCTGTTGAGGAATACGCGTGACGTAACACCGCCGTAAATCGACAGTTTTTGTCGTAACGAAACTGAACCGCTGAGCTCAGCACATCCTCATCTAATTGAAACTGATGATGCAGTATTAAATGGCATGGGAAATACACCTGATACACACAGGGATACTACGAATGTGTCTGTCTGCCTGCCTGCCTGCCTGCCTGCCTGCCTGTCTATCTGACTGTGTTGACAACAATTAGACCATTATTACATATGTTATCAGTCCTGTGCTATTTTTTGACACTAAATTGCCTAATTGCATTGCAGTATTATATGCATTTAATCCCCCCCCACAAACAGTATACATCTTTCAAATAATATTTGAGCACCAAAACATATAAATACCAAAAATTATTAATTAATTAATTGAGAAACATACACACAGATGAAGAAACAACAACAACAACAACAACAACAACAACAACACCACAACATAACATCATTTCAGACAAGAACAAAACACATTGTTTCTTTCTTTCACATATATCCTAGTTTAGGTCCATCCAGTACATTGGTCTTGTCACCTTTGACCTTGCCCCAACTGAGTGTGTCCAACACCAGTTTTCTGTCTTTAAACTTTCCAAGTCAAGAAAGAAAGTCCCTTTGAAAATAAATTCACACTTTCATACTGATAGTTCATGAGTGGCCTCTAAATGTTCAAAAATGACTAATCACTGAACCACAAATATATATTTAGTACATATATGTGGTGCAGTGAGATTAAAATGACCACGACTGAAATATGATCTTCCTCTGTGGAATATTAATATGATTTTCTTAAATCAACACTCTATCTATACCTTGTCATGCCTCCTATTGGCCACTAGGAGCAGATCATCTAATCACAAGTAAAGTCATATACTTCACCAAAGTGAAAACTTACATTTTTGTAGTCTTTAAATGCATACAGGTGATTTTTACTCACTGTAATAAAAACTGTCCTGACTATAGATTCAAGGTACAATCACACACACACACACACACACACACACACACATATATATATATATATATATATTCTTGAAGAGTATTAGATTGATTAATTTTATATTTCTCAACAGATTGGTTGAGTCAGAGAAATTTGGTGTTTTTTAATATGAGAATAATAAAAGGTTTGAGTCTTGTGTTTTGGTGGCTATATACACACCTTTTCTTACCTTTGGATCACAGATAATGCCTTCAGCAACTCCATGCGCACAAACATAACTTATAATTTATATTAAAATGAAAATGGTTTTGATTATGCTTTTAAAATAAAAAACATAGCTTGAACCAAAAACATGAAACAGATGGCTAGCACAGTTGCATCTTCAGTCAAGCCAGAAATAGTACAACCAACACATGCACAAACACACACAGGTTTGGGTTTCAGCAGTGGTCCCCAAACTGGGGTCAAATAATCCCGCAGGGGTTCTGGAAAGGATCAGTTCTTGGCTAGCTACCGTTTGGTTTAATGTCACTTTTACTTCAAAGAAAACCTAGTATGATCAAAGGTTTCAGACGTTCCACTGTTATTGCCCCACTCTCTATCTGAAATTATTATAAATTATTATTATTATTATTAACTTGGACTACATGCATTGAGGTTATGATCTTTTTCTCTACTTATTAACGCTTCTTTAATAGTCCTTTAGGGACTTATTGTCCTCAGTAGAACTTAATAGTGGAGTGACTTTATTTAACTTTATGGAATACATCTGTATCCTCAATGTTCACTGTAAACAGCCCTACTGTAAACTGCTCATTATAACCCATAACAACACAATACAATTCTTTTTGTATTGATTATCATGTTATATTGGATAGTATCCCCATAACTAGGCCAGTAGTTCTTTGTAGTAGTAGTCCAGTCAGCAAAAATGTATGCACCTGCCAAACAGACCCATATCCACTTGAGAGAGCGAGAGAGCGAGAGAGCGAGAGCTAGACAGGGAGAGAGAGAGAGAGAGAGAGAGAGAGAGAGAGAGAGAGAGAGAGAGAGAGAGAGAGAAATGGCGCCTCGATGCTGCGCTCACTGAGGCAGTGTTTGGAGCCGGCTAGGGAGAATCAGTAAGGGCAGACAAAAGGAAAAAACATGGTGAACACAAGGAAAAGCTCACGGCCGGGGAGCGGTCCCTACATCTCCTCGAGGACTAGGTCGTCGTCGAGAAACGAGCGAAACTCTGAGGAACATGTAAGCCGGTTTCCTTTCTTTGCCGGCGAGCTAGCTGGCTCTGCTAGTTGGCTAGGTAGCTGTAGCCGTGGCCTCAAGGTGCTCCACATAATGTATTATTCACAGCAAAGTACGAGCAGTATTGAACTTGACACCCGCGCAGTCACGCAGATACACAATAAAAGACTTGAATGCAGCGATTCATACGCGTGTCGTTCGCACTGGACGTCTTGTTCAGCTGTCAGATTACAAGCTAGCGACTCCTGGCTAGCTCCAAGTTGAGTTCCCTTTGTGTTTGACAATTTTACCCGGCTGACTTCATTTCACCATTGTCGCCACAAATTAGCCCTCCAAATAAAGACAACTGGGGGTTTGACATGGGGCTATAAGCATTACTTCAGCTCGCCGCCCTGGAACCAGTGGCGTTATTATATTCTCAAATAGAGAGATAAAGCTTTAGATAAGCTAGCGTTTGTAGGTTATAGCTAGCCCGAGAGCTAGTTTACAGTGGGGGAAGGGAGTCCCAGGTTCAAAACAGTTGGCTGGCTCAAGTCCCGTATTAACAAGTCTGAACTTGGTGAACTTTCTGTTGTAAATGCCCCACAGACCTATATAAAGCACGTTTTTGCTTTACACATGCTTTAAACGCGCTGATATAACGTTATACCGAAGGATATATGTCTACCTATTCAAAATGAACACTAAATAAATAGCCTTAGTTTGTACTGTCGTCTGACCTACTAACGGACTGTCAGTCTTTGTCTCAAAATGTAAACATTGAGGTTATGCCAGGCAAGAGGTCCTGTGTGTCCGCGTTATTTACAATTATCACAGCAGAGACGAACGTTATAATTCAAAGATATGATCATTTATAGATAGCCATTAACACATTCTTGAGGTTTTAATGGGCTGGCTGTTTGGCAAGGTTTTATACTTTGTTGAATTGCGATTCAAAGGCTTTAGAGTGATAAACCTTACACTTTCACAATGTTATTTACAAGACATTGTGATTGTTTTTGGACGCTGAACTCCCAACCATTTCGCTCAGTTGGCTGTGTGTAGACCTTGTTGTCAAAAACTTGTTGCTAGGACTGACTGTCGTTTTGTGACTATGTTTGGAAAATGAGTTAAATGAGGGATGACTTCAGGGTGCACCCATCAGGCCACAGCCGTGCATTTGTTCACTGTTAGTACATCCTGCACTTTGCAGTCTGTCTGCATCCATCCATCCATCCAGTCAGACAACCCCTATGCAGGCATTGCAGATAGTCAGGGAAGTTAAGCTGTGAAGGGCATCAGCATCAAGGGCATATGTCTGGTTGTCTGTATTGTGATTCAGAGAATACATTAAGGAGATGGGTACAAGGTGGCTTGTCTTAGTACTCTATTATTCTGGTTTTGCCATTTGGAACTTTTGCTCTCTTCTGTCCTTGAAGTCTTTTGTCATGATTTTATTTTTTACTTGAGCAGTTTGGTCATGCTTGCTTGTTATTTGCTCAATATTCTGGCTTCATGCAATGATTGATGGGACGAACACATTTTTTATGCAAATATTTGTGAGAGGCTGTCATGTTATTATACGTTTTCCCTTGCTTGCATGTTCTGATTGTTTGTTATTCTTCTCCCCATCTTCCGCTCTTAAATTGGTACAATGTTTGTTTGTACAACAGAAGGAGCCCAGTAGTGATGTGAGCAGTCCCAGCAGTCCGCGGTTGGCTCCCCCCTCCAAGCGGACGCGCCGGCAGGTTGCCTCCGAGCCCAGCTCCAGTGATACCTCCCCGTCCCCTCAGACCAAGGGCCAGAGGGTCAGCTGGGACATTCCCACCTACCGTACCAGGTCAGCTGCTGGCCTTTGTTTCCCTCATCATAAGATTCTCTGAATGGCTGTGCATGATATTCTGCAGCACAGTGATTTTGTTAAGACAAAGGTGTATTCAAATCATTTAGTTCATTAGTTTATTTGTCTGTACAAAGTTTACAAAGTTTACAAAGTAAAGTCAAGAAATAAGCTGTTTGGTGTCAAGTTCTCTTCCTTTCATATCATATATTGTAACTTAAATGTGAACTCTCATACAGTATTATGTGTGATTAATTGTTTTCTTCTGTGCATATGTCCATACATATTTTCACTTTGTACTTTTTTCCCCCTAGGTTGTCCTCTCGCATAATGCAAAATGGACACGGTAATGCAATTCTTTTCAAATTGTCTCTTTCTTTTATACCATACATTGAAAATATGCATTTAAGAATTGGTCCCTAATTAATTTTTTGTTAATGCTGCAGCCCATATGAGTCACCGGAATGAAGAGAGCGGAGGGGGAGATCACTCTCACATGAATGGCCATGTGGAGCTGAAGAGGAGCTGCCGGGTCAAGAAGAGCCAATTTGAACACCTCAATCAGAGCCTGCTGTTTGACCAGCTGGTCAACAGGTAGGTAGCATTTACTACTCTACTGATTTAGTGGGCTCTACACATCAAACCTATGCAAATTAGGTACGCTGAACATTTATACTTGTGCGATGATGTGTCTGCATTTTTATGGAAGTAGCACTGACAAAACAATTGTTGGTGGTGGAGTTTCTATGCCACTTTGTTGAGCTTTGACTGAAACTGAAACTCTCACTCGTCTCTACCTGCTTATCCCTTTGTTTTCCTCGTTTCTTTTTTTTTTTTTTTTCACCTGTGAAAGAAAAGTTTGAGGGAATATGAGGGGACAGAGGAGCATGTCATGCAGTCAGACAGCGTCCTGTGTGTCCCTGTTTGTCTGTGTGCGTGTGAGGACACACTTGTCTGAAAATGTGTGTATGTTTATAGCAAGATCCTCAAACAGCATTATAAAGTCATCTGGATTTTCGCTTCCCATTTTCAGACAATAAACACATCAGTGGACCAATCCCAGTTGCTGCAGCCTGTGTCGCTGTGATGTGTAGTTACATTCCTGGGGAAAAGTATTGTTGGTTTGGTTGCCATCTTCTGTGTTGTCATATTCTGTGTTGTTCTGTGTGTCTACAGCACTGCTGAGGCTGTCCTTCAGGAGATGGACAACATCAGCAGCATCAGGCAGAACCGTGAGGTGGAGCGACTTCGCATGTGGACCGGAGACACTGAGGAGGTAAGTGTGGCTCTGCTGTAACACACAACCCAGAGCAAGAAAAGTACATTACGACTGCCTGATGATCTTATGTGAATATAAGTGATAGCAGGAAGGCCATGTTTTTCCAGGAAAACATCGACATGTATTCCCGGGTGAAGCGCAGGAAATCCATGCGCAGGAGCACTTTCAGCATGCCCACACACCACAAAGTCATGAGCAAAACTGAGCAGGAGGAGGAAGAAGAGGAAGGGACGGAAGGTCAGTCTCCTACTGATGTTCTACTTATAAATCAGTGGAGAGAGAACCACCTCATCTTTAACTGAATTTCTGAAAACTTCAATTGTTAAACTTACTTTGAGTGAATCTTTTTAAAAGGTCAAATTTGGTGGTATTGTCGGAAGTTTTTATGCCACACGTTTGACTTTCAGATTCTCACGGTGAAGAAGAGGAGGAGGATGCAGAGGACGACGATGAAGATGATGAAGGAGATGAAGTGGAAGAGGCGGGAGAGGAAAATGACAGACCATACAACTTGAGGCAGCGAAAAACGGTGCAGAGATATGAGGCACCACCGATTGGTAATTGCTTATTATTTTTCTTTTGGTTTTCCCTCAAGCTTAATGACATTTGAAACTATCTTTAGAGGTTTGGTGTGTGTGAAAACCAGTTGCTTTGTGTTTGCTTCTCTTAGAGCCTGTGAACAGAAAACAGAGCAACCCCTCACTTTTTGACACCCACAGATCCCCAGCAAGAAGAAGCCATATAAGGTTAGTAGAAATCTGTGAGAACTCCTAGTTAAATCTGATGCCAAATTGGTGACAATGTGTGACTCTTAAGCAGCTTTTTCACTACCATGATTAATGAAGTCAGAGCTGTGGTTATAAAAAGTTATTTTTTTTTTTACACCTCCACTTGTCTCTGAATGTGACTGCGTAACGGTGTGACACTGACTCTAGATTGTCACACTTCTCCAGAGTGAAGAAACATGCCATTCACAGCAGTGACACCACCTCGTCTTCTGATGAAGAGCGATTTGAGCGGAGAAAAAGCAAGAGTATGACCCGGGCAAGGAACAGGTGACTGCTGCTGCTTCCTTTCTTCTGACTTTTTATTTTCCTTTCATCTTTCTCTGTTTTACTTTTGCTTTGATTATAGCTTTTTAAGAACTATAAAATAATAGATCTAGGACTGTTGACATTAGTACAAGGGCTGAAGCAGTGACCATTGTGCTATACTTGTGTGTGACTAAGTATTTGTACTCTTTAGATGTAATTGCTTATGTCAGTCCTATGTTTTCACAGATGTTTGCCCATGAACTTGACTGCAGAAGACCTGGCTAGTGGGGTACTGCGTGATCGGGTGAAAGTGGGTGCCAGCTTGGCTGATGTGGATCCCATGAACCTTGATAGCTCAGTGAGTATAATAGTTACTACATAACAAAAAGCTGGACAGTTTTAGTCTTAAAACTTGGAAATCTTCAAGTTTTTATGAGATGCAGCTAAAAAGTAATAAGTCTTTGAATAAATATCTTTAGTTATATTTTAGCATTTCTTTTTGGGGCCATACAGAGAGGCTTTGTGCTTAAGATTTTCTTATTTTTTCTTATTTATTTTTCATAGGCGAATGTTCAAAATGTATTTTCTCCCCAGGTGAGATTTGACAGTGTGGGTGGCCTCAGTAATCACATTCAGTCACTAAAGGAGATGGTAGTGTTCCCACTGCTTTACCCTGAGATCTTTGAGAAGTTTAAGATTCAGCCTCCCAGGTGAGAATGTGATTTCAAGGTTACTTTATTTGGTTTTTAATTTTGTTGTATTTTCTGTCAAGTTTGATTGAAAACAGACTATACTAAAATCTGATCACAGATATGCTGTCTGCTTTCATGATGACATTCTTCTTTGTTTCTCTACATGCATATGAGATAATCCCATGTCCTCTCCTCTTTAGAGGGTGTTTGTTCTATGGCCCTCCAGGGACAGGAAAGACTCTGGTAGCACGGGCGCTTGCCAATGAGTGTAGCCACGGAGACAGGAAGGTTTCCTTCTTCATGAGGAAAGGAGCCGACTGCCTTAGCAAGTGGGTCGGTGAATCAGAACGCCAGCTACGCCTGCTCTTTGACCAGGTAATTTTTTGGACAGTGTCCATGTTACCATAGCTTCAGTCACTTGACCTGAATTGACTCCACAATGTAAATCTAAATATTAATTTGTTGCTGGCAGAATATTTTCAGTTCCGGTGTTTCATGTGTGTTAATGATTGTAACTCAATATTGTCATATTTCCTTTCACTTTTTTGAGAAAATTGATTTCTAAGTTTTATTTACAAACTTCTGCGTAAGTAAACTGACCCCATCTATTTTTTAATATATTGTTTCAATGAGCATAATGTTTTGTGTTTGGTGTTGTTTCCTTTTGATCAGGCTTATCTGATGAGGCCATCCATAATTTTCTTTGATGAGATTGATGGATTGGCTCCTGTTCGCTCCAGCAGGCAAGACCAGATACACAGGTAAGGCTAATTTGCTTGTAACCTTCTTATCAAAGAAGGTACAACTGTTCTGTAAACATGTGTATTCTTGAAACATGCTGTAGCCTCTAACATGGCCCAGTGTAAAATTGCACTAATTATCAGTTTGGCAGTGAACAACCTCAGTAGTAGTTTCTTTGTGTCATATGTCTGTAATCATCAAAGTGGAAGTGACAGAATTACTAAGCACCTTCTGGAATTGGCTTGTTAGTTACTCACCAACTCTAAAGCACGCATTTATCTTTTTATTTTCCTTTTATTCCCTTTCCACACAAAAGCTATAAAAACCTCAGCAAACCTCAGCTGTACTTAACAGATGTGACATGCAGTGGTGAAAGTGTCAAAACTGTGCCTGCTTTTACTTTCGCACACATGGGCATGAAGACATACCCCGGTGCTGTTACTGTCCTTGCCAATAGGTGGTGCAGGTTTCTGCAGGTTCAAAACTGCTGGTGCTGCAGCTTTGATTTTGGAAGAAATTGGCTGGATATGGATTTGGGTGCTTCACTTCAGGGACACTTGAGTCCATATTTGTTTGTTTATTTGACAGCAAGCAGCCATAGAAATGGAAATCATAACAGTTTTCCTTCTGATTTAGAGCATTTCAATATGAACTGTAGGTGAGGAAGTATCCTATTACACAAACACAGCTTGCAGTTGATCCTTGTGGTTGCCATCTAGAAAATGGAATATTTGTAACCATGAAATGTAAGATAATTCTAGACCAAAGTTAATTCAAAACATGAAATGTGCGTGTGCTTGAGTTTATAGCTGCTCTCCTCTTTCTGCCATGCTGGGTAAATACATGCATAGAGCTGTAGTCAACACGGAAATAGAACACTTGCCCCACACTGTTTTGTTCAATATGCGTGTTTGATAGACCAGGTCTGTGTACTATTTACAGAAATAAGCTTGTGTTTGTCTTGTCAGGATCCACTCAAGAGTCAAGTACTTGAGCTCTACTAAATGTATGCACGTATACTTAAAGATTAGATACAGCTGAATACTAAATGGCATGTATTAAATTCTGTCCCACCTCCTCCTTCCATCTGTCCAGTTCTATTGTGTCCACACTGCTGGCCTTGATGGACGGCTTGGACAGTCGTGGGGAGATAGTGGTCATTGGTGCTACAAACAGACTTGACTCTATCGACCCGGCACTCAGGAGGCCTGGACGCTTTGACCGGGAGTTTCTGTTCAACCTGCCTGACAAGAAGGTGAGACAAAGTAAAACATCAATATTGTGTACAGTGGACATGTTCCTGGACCCAACCACACAAAGTCTGTGTGGATTTTCAGTGGATGTGTTTTTCATTATAGAAGCATTAACTCTTCATCTCCGCCTTAAAAAGAATGCATATTACCCACAGAAATCCGACATATACAATAAATACAGTTTTTTGACACAATATAATGCAGAAGTAATTAGTGTTGTACTCATAAGAGTCCTGCGACAAATTTAGTACATTCGGCCCTCTGGCTATTAAAAGTCTCCTCAACTGTATTTTTTTCCTCGCTGTTGGATGTTTTGATCCAACAAGCAAGTGGCAAAGCAGATGCTCATTAGGTTTCTGGAAAATTAAAAATCAATTCTTCAATTCTGATTCTGATTGCTTTAATGTTGCACTTGGGGAGACTTGTCCTTTTTTTCCTGCTATGCACAAAACAATGTTACATGTGTGTAAAGTGACAGTCAGTCAGATAAACAGCTTGGTGTAGGTGACACCTCCCCATTGAGCCTGTCTAATGGGTCGCCTTGCATTGTTTGTCCGCACAGTAGGATCATTGGTAATCAAAGCCTAATCTGCAGGCCATTGCTGGCTAAGCTCACCAGTGAGCTCTGACTGATTTAAAACCTTGCTCTTCTGCTAATAGCAATCCTCTCTACACATTCAAGTTCAGCTCCCTCCTGGTAGTACCCAAACTAGAAACTGGTATGAAATCTGGCTCAGTGGCATCTTTTGAATAGAGGGGGAGATGTGATGAAAGATGATGAAAACCATTGCCCTTGATTCACGACAAAGACCACTTTGCTCTTGATGTCTGCTTATCAAAGCAGAGTCCTGTGGAGACGATGCAATGAATTGAAAGGCGCATTGTGTTGAAGTGTTAGCAAGCCCTTCAGTTGAGCTCACTCGCACATTTGATTCCATTTTGATTTTTTTCTTGCTGTTGTCAGTTCTTGAAAGAGAAAGAGATAGATATAGATAGTTAATTTGAGTAGAACATGCTTTTAATTATGGTATTTATGATGTGATTTTCTTGGTATCATTGTCATGTTTTGTTTGTTCCCTTTGTCCTGTCTTATGCAACATATTTAAATGACATGTTAAATAAAAAATAATTTACATTGTTTGGTAGTAGCGGCAACCACTGCGGCAGTTTAACATGTAAGTAAGTAAGTAAGTAAGTAAAGCTTTATTTATATAGCACCTTTATAACACAGAGATCCAAAGTGCTTTATAAACAACAAATATACATATGGGTATAACCATACCCAACCAAACATACATAGGGAGCCGCTTAAAACAGTCCACAGATTCAGTGAATCTGAGTGATTGGGGAAGACTATTCCACAATGTTGGGCCTGAAACAGCACAAGTACGGGCACGTTTACTTTTGCAGTTAGCACCGGGAATGGATAAAAGTCCTAGATTGGAGGAGCGAAGTGGCCGAGAAGTGGAATGAGGGAACAAGGAGATCTGAAATGTAACTGGGGGCAAGGTTATGAAGTGCCTTATGTACTAATTATAAGATCTGTAATCTTATAGTTGATTCTGAATTTTACAGAAAGCCAATGAAGGGATGTGAGCACAAGAATAATGTGGGACCGACGGCTGGTTCTGGTTAAAAGTCTGGCGGCTGCATTTTGTACTAACTGCAAACGATTTAACGAAGCTTGACTGAGGCCTGTGTAGAGGGAGTTACAGTAATCTAGACGGGAGAAAATTAAGCTGTGAATTAATAGTTCAAGATCACTGGAGGACAAGAAACCTTAGATTTTTGCTATATTTCGTAGCTGCAGGAAACAGGATTGGACAAGTTTTGTAACATGTCATATACTGGTCGAAGATGATACCCAGATTCTTAGCAGTGGGTTTGATATTTGTGCGTAATGGTCTAATAAACTTATCAACTGCATTGACAAAGTTTTCAGGGCCAAATTAAATTATTTTAGTTTTGTCAGGATTTAAGTGGAGAAAATTAAGAGACATCCAGTCTTTGGTGGCAGCTAAGCACTCATGGAGAGAGGACAGTTGATTCAAGTTATTGGGTTTCGCAGAAAAGTAGATCTGTGTGTCATCAGCATAACAGTGGTATGACATGTCATGGAAATGACTGAACAAATGACCCAGAGGAATCATGTACAGGGAGAACAGAACTGGACCAAGAACTGACCCCTGAGGGACACCACACAGCAGGAGAGTGGAGGAGGAAACATGATTATTTATGTAGACATTAAAGACTCTATTAGTCAAATAGGAATTAAACCAGTACCACCCAACCCAGTTCTGTAATCTATAGAGAAAAATCACATGATCGATGGTATCAAATGCTGCAGTCAGATCGAGAAGAATAAAGAGTGAGCTTTCACCTTTGTCAGCATGCATAAGGGTGTCATTAGACACTCTTAGGGCCTGTCCTCAAGAATACGTTTTTCTCGAATCCGGATAAATACTTTATCGTATTGGCCTCGTGTCCAGACGGATACGGCGTTTTCGGGGGTGTGAAAACATACTTTTTTTTGGAAACGGGTCCCAGAGTGGGATAATCTGAAAACGCCTGATTGCCCGGAGTCGTCTGGACGGCGAAAACGTATTAGCCCCACCTCTCTAGCCTTTAACCTCAGCCGCCACCGCTAGACGTGTCATAACAACAACAACAATGGCGGACTACTACTACTTGTTTGTAAACAGCGCATGCTCCATGGCTTCTCTTCCGGTTTTAGTGTATTGGTGTGGCGGCGTCACAGCGCCAAATACAGGCCTGGCATATGTACTACAGCGTTTTGGGTCGTCTCAGTAAATCCGTGTGGATGCAGATATTTCTGGAAACGACGCCGTGTTTACGGAGATTTTTTTCAAAACGACATCGTATTGGGTGAGGCCGCGTATTCGTGAGGACAGGCCCTTAGTAATGCTGTCTTGGTGCTATGTTTTTGGCGAAAACCAGATTGGAATTTTTAAAAGATTCTATGTTAACCTTGCCTGTGTTTTTTTTCCAAAATATCCTGTGCTCCCTCATCTGTTTACTCTGCTTTTTCTCTTCTGTTTCTTTCCCCTTGTCCACCCCAAATCCTCTGTTCAGGCCAGAAAGCACATCTTGGAGATTCACACACGGGACTGGAATCCCAAATTGGCTGAGCCATTTGTAGATGAACTTGCAGAAAAATGTGTCGGTAAGAGTGGTACCTGTGTATACAACACTCTTCTTGATTTAACCTGCTGACAGCCATATTCCCTGTGCTGCTTAAAAACAACAAAATTTATGAACTAACCTTTTTTGTATCTGGCTTGCTCCCAGGCTACTGCGGTGCTGACATCAAAGCACTTTGCACAGAGACAGCCTTGGTCGCGTTGCGCCGCCGCTACCCCCAGATCTACGGCAGCAGTGTCAAACTGAAACTGGATGTCACCTCCATAGTCCTGGGGCCTGGCGACTTCAGCAAGGCCATGAGGACAATCGTCCCTGCCTCCCAAAGGGCCCTGGCTCCCCCGGGCCGAGCCCTGTCCCCCACCCTCAGGCCCCTGTTGGCCAGCCCTTTCTCCTTGGTGCTGAAAGCTCTGCTCCGAGTCTTCCCCCATGCTCAGTGTACTGACAGGGACAACACACATGGTAGGGATGTGGGACCAAGGCACCCATGGTTTCAGCTGCATCATTTGTTTTCACTTTCTTACTGCTGGTTGCTGCTTTTCCCGCCTTGACTCTTGCTCTCTTCTCCCTTGCCACCTATCTCACTTGTTAGTGTGTTTCCTGCTGGCACTGAGCCAGCGTAGTATTTGCCTATTTGTTTCTCTTTCCCCCACCTTATTACCAAAGTGTTTTGTATCACCCTCACACACTGAACATATTCTGTGGTGAAATACTCCCCCTGAGAATGCAGAGGTTATAGCACAGAGATTGGATAACCAGTCATCCTGCTTGAACTTCAATAACTCAACTCCCACTCCCCACAAACAAAGGAGTGTTTAGCCACAAAAGTGCACTTGACCAGTGGGAGATTGCTTACAGGACTTGTGCTTCTTGCACCCAATAGTGGCATTATAGTTTCCCAGGGTGCTGTATCGTTTTAAATGCCCATTAGATCTTGCCTAATAAGCCAGCTCTCTTTTTATTCTCCCTTTTTGTGTGAAATGAACGCATTAATGTCAGTGTTGGGGCTGCTTTGAGAATTAAACTTTAAAAAGACAGACTTTAAAGTGCATCTGCCACCATTGTACTGAATAACTCTTGGAAAAGCAAGTTGCTGTATAAGCAGTGTTTCTCTCTCTGTTAGGCGGTGACAATCAACTGCTTGAAGAGGACTTGTACAGCGACGATGACAATGAGGAAGGCTCTTCTTCCATCTATGAAGTCCAGCCTGCTGCATCCCCAAAGAGTCAGCTCTCCTCTTCAGCAATGCACAGACCCTTCCTCCATTTCTCCTTGTAAGTACACAGGAAAAAATACTTTTCATGGCCACAGTCTTCGTTTTTTTTTCTCCTTCTCCTCCTCCTCTTCCTCCATAGTTTTTAACAGTAATAGGAAAGAATTCACTACTAAACAAATGTACACAGTATTATAACAGTCAATTTTCATACCATGGTGTCTGTATACCGCTGCAAACCTATTAGGGATGAAATTGCAATGTGTAAGAAAGAAAGTAGAAGGAAACATTAATTAAGATATAACACATTATTTTCCACACACATCATCAAAAAGTCAGACTGTAGGGACTGAATAACTCGTGGCTTTTCATTTAGTGGAACCATTTATTGATAAACCTATTAAGCAGTTATCAAGCCTCTCGGCAAAAACTTTTTTTGTTTTTCATAGTAGTGCATCTGAAATACGAAAAAAATAACCTCTTTAGGGGGTGGTCAGCAAATAGCATTAAAACAGCCCTTAATGACTATCGGCTCTCGGCCTTGTGTCTCTTTGACTGCTTTCAGACCCAGGGTTAAATGGCTTGATTATCAAAACACCTATACCCCAATGGAAGCACACATCTCAAGTCCCAATACAAGTGTGCTGTAGGTGGAGTTACACATAACATATAAGACATCAGTTAAGAGTGTGATCACTTCTGCCTCATCTAATACTTGCAACACGAAAAGTGGAAGTACAAGTGTTGTGTGTAGACGAAGACCTTATAAATTGCACAATGCTGCTGCAAGCAAAACACGTTGTCCTGTGTATGTCTGTATGACATGTACACGCAGGAAGTTTTACATCATATGGTGTAAGTTATAGGTTCGCCCAAACTGTACCCCAGTTGCTAAGAGTTTAGTCATTCAAAAGAGACAAAGTGGGTTTTTATTGTGTTCTGATAGCACTCATTTATCGGAGATGTAATATACTCAATTTTGTTCTTGAAATGTTTCAAACTGATAGAAAACAGTGCAAGGATATCTAGATTTCTGCTGGTACTGTCAACATGCACTGAGGGGGTTTCACAGTGAAGACCTGCCACTTCCATTTACATTAAAAATGCATTTATTGTGGAGCACTTGCAGGGTTGTTGAGTTAGTGTCAACAGTGGCTTTACGCATCAACATTAGCTTACTGTAGCAAATGAACAAAACTGCCAACAATAGGGCTTCTGCTGTGACAATGCTGTTTGAATGACAGTATGACTGCTGGTTAGTGATCATAAGGCGTTGGCTACTATGCTAACTCTGAACTCCCTTCTGTCTCTAGCTCTGCTCTCCAACACCCCACAGCATACCGGCCTCGTCTGCTCCTGGCCGGGGCCCCGGGCTCAGGACAGAGCTCCCACTTGGCCCCTGCCTTGCTGCACCACCTGGACAAGCTGCCAGTGCACCGTCTGGATTTGCCCACTCTCTACTCCGTCAGCGCTAAGACGCCAGAGGAGTCCTGTGCTCAGGTATCTCACACACACACACACACACACACACAAACACACACACACGGATGCATGAGTCAGTGCAGACATTCACACACAAGGCCACCCGTTGCACTGGTGAAATAAGCAACTTATTGGCTTGTAACTTTAATAACTTGTGGCATAATCTTTCTGGTTTAACAATGAGTGCTTGACCCTATCTTCATGGTTGCAGGTTTTCCGTGAGGCCCGCCGGAGCGTGCCCAGTGTGGTCTTCATGCCGCATGTCTCAGAGTGGTGGGAGACAGTTAGTGACACTGTGAAGAGCACCTTCCTCACCTTGCTGCATGATGTGCCCTCTTTCAGCCCTGTCCTTATCCTTGCTACTGCTGAGACTCACTACTCACAGCTGTCAGACGAGGTAGGAACACAGTGTACACACGCCTTTTTCAGATTTACCTGGAGGCGTGCCCCATGTTTTTTAGTGGTTACATATTACTGAACAATTGCTTCCATTATGTGAGAGAGGGGAGTGTTAACCTGGTGTCTTTTTTTTTTTTATATGTATTGGAAGCTCAAGCTTTCATACTCATGAGCGCTAGTGCAGACACACACCGGGTGTCACAGTCAAGGTCATCTGCTCCCACAGAGTTTTTCTCTACTTTGCCTCCATCTCCCTTTTCTTGTCATTTATCCCACTGCCCACATTTCTCCCTGGGTATCTCCACCCCTGCTCCTTCATCCTCCCTCTTGGATTTATTATTCTCTTTCTGAAAGCCAAAGCAGAGTCAGACCACCCGTTGTGGGTTAGGCTGTAAGGGAGGGATTGCGTTAGAGTAAGGGGAAATAGAGAAAATTGGAAGGGGAAAAAAAGAGAAGAAGACAAATAAGGAGGAGGGTCCTCTCTAGTCAGGCAACAGAAGGGCTTTAATTAGGTCCGGGGGTTGGCATCCCCATGTCTTCACCCCAGGACACACACTCACACCCACACACACACACACTCCATATCAATATGCCTGTGCAGACTGTGTGGATTTTTTCCTTTTTTTTGTCTCTGTGTGTGGCTGCTGTTTTGGCAAGGCCTCAACCCTGGCCATGCTCCAAGGAGAGAGAGGCTCTCTGGATGTGTCTTTCTCTGTAGTTGACTCATTAGGGTTGAGGCACCTGGGCTGTTTGCACCCATTGATGCATAAGCTCTTTTAAACCTCTGTAGTTGTAGTTTTTAAAAAAAAATTAATTGTGTTGTTTTACAAAGTTTTTACTTTTATTTCTATCTTTGTTCCATGCCTTTCTTTGTTTTCTTTATGTTGTGTGATTGATAGTTCCCTGCAGTTCTTATACACTGCTTTAAGGCTTTTTACTTTACTTAACTCCACCGTGTTTGTTGATTCACATGCTGCGTTAAGAGATTATAAAAATGGAAGTAATCACACCCTGCAGACCATTCAGTCTCTGTGTCAAATGGTAGATTGCTATTCATTACATACTGGGTGACTGGCTGAAACATGTAGGATTGGCAATTACTTTTCTTATCTCCTTTGTCAAATTACCTTTTCTTTGGTCATTGAACACATAGCCATGCAGCCTGGAAAATTGGGAAGCACACGATGGGACTAATGGTGTGCTCAAGTCAGCACGGAGCCAGCATGAGGGCATCAAGACTGTCCTTAGGCTATACTAGCTTTCTACCGTGTCTTCTTCCCCACTTTGAGTATCACACACTGCTAGTTTGTAGTGGCGTTGCATCGTTGCACTTGTTAATCAGTTCTTTTCTTAACTTTTTTTTGCAATTACATTGTAAAAAGACCACTTCTTTGCTCATTTTTAAAGCTATATTTAAAAGCAGATCATTATGCCTGTACCACACACTGTGCTTCTATCAGTCTTCCCTCACTGGCAACGATAACTGCTTGGCATAAATAGTTAACGATTAATACTCAAACCTTGTGCTAGACTACTGTCCAGTTATTTTGGAGCCAACTCTCAAGTCTCATACTCTGAAGCTTCCTATGAGCACATGAATTCACCCAACGGGCTGTTTAAATAAATCTACTATAACATAAATGTGATGAATTGCTCGCTCAAGCAGGTTCCAAATTTGTGCTAGTTAGTTTTTATAAATGTAGTCACATGACCCTTACCAGTAAACAAATCTGAATTATTAAGACAGACAGACCAACTTTCCCTCCTAGTGATTTTCTATGTAATGCAGGGGTAACTATAAGCTCTGTGTGGAAGTCTATAAGGGGAACATATCTAGTGGTTGGTCCCACTGAAACAGTGCCCCAGGTTTTCCAGAGAGAGTATGATTTGCAGAATGTTTGCTGAATGAGTGGAATTTTGCTGAGGCTGTTTACACATTAAGCAGTTTTGTCTTGTCTAATAATTGGACCTATTTGCAAGCATTGTTGGTTTTATCAAATGACATTGCTTATCTCTTGTCCCAAAAGTGTCCCCTGTAACTTCTTTCAGCAAGGTTTGAGGAGTTTTGGTTTTAATGTTTAAGCATGGGCATGCTGCAGTCTATGGCTTTAAGTGATTTGGAGTGTTGTTTCACTCTCTGGCACAGGGAACACAGTGACAGCTGCTGTCTCAGCTCCAAACCTCAGCAGGGAACAGACAGCATCCCTCCCCAGCCAAAACTGACACTACAGGCTTGGGTCCAGCTACAAAGCCTCCCTCCCTCCCTTAACAGCCGTTCACTCTGCTTAGATCGGCTTCCTTCATGGTGGTGGACCGATGGAAATTGCTAGAACATGTGATTGTAAGGGTGAAGTTACTGCAGTTAAAGATAGAGTCCCATCAGTCTGTATGTTTAGCGCTGTAACACATTTTGGGATGTGTGTTTTGAAGCATCACAAGTGCATTGTAACGGCATGAACTGAATGCTGAATCTGAATGTGAATGTTTGCACCACAGTTTCACCACAAGGACCTGATTATTTACGTCAGTAATCTAGTTTCAGTGCTGAAAAAAAGCAGATACTGTACTAAATAACCATGCCTTCACCAAAGTATCCAGATACTTTACTGGTTTATATTGTAGCCCAATTTTATATTGTTTTCAATTAGTTTTAATTGTAAAAAACACCTCACTTTGTTATAGTAGAGCTATATTTTAAAGATTCCGCTTTTGTCTTTTGCAGAAGATGTAAGTGTCTGGAGTCTTTTCCAAATATATATATATATATATATCGAGCTTGGGGAGTAACAGATTACATGTTATCAGGTGTTATGTGTGTTCTGTAATCAGGATACAACTAATGAACAAGAAGACTGAATCAGATTGCAGTTACATTTAGTAAAAATAAGGATTATTACAAAATGTTATTTAAAAAATACCTTTGAAAATAAAGAACAATACAAATGTAAATTAGTTATAATATAAAGAACATGCCACAGGGCATCTAACAAGGCAAGGTAATCCATACATCCTCAAGCTCTTTTTGGGGCACCCTGTTGCATTCCCAGGTTAGATGGGATGTAATCCCTCCAGCGTGAAGCTGAAACACCTCCACAGGAATGCAACTTGTAGGCATCCAAATCACATCACCGAACCACCTTAACTGACTCCTTTCAGAGCAAAGGAGCAGCGGTCCTACTCTTAGCTCCGTTTGAACGCTTACATCAGTGACCTCAATCTTTCGGTTACTACCTAAAGCTCATGACCAGAGGGTTGGAACGTACATCGACCGGTAAATCGAGAACTTAGCCTTCAAGCTCAGCTCCCCTTACAGCACAGCAGTCTAGTATAGCATCTGCACCACACCCGTCCACCTGTCAATCTCACACTCCATCTTACCCACACTCAGTTGTCACCATCTGGACTAGTGTGTACTAGGGCTGGGCGATATGGCTTAAAAATAAAATCTCCGATTTTTTCACACCAAACCCGATTTACGATTTTATTCGTTTTTTTTGTAGAGGGTGTTTGTGGGCTGTGGTCCTGTATATCTCGCAGAGAGCAACAACCGACGACACTGTGCCTTTTTTGGGGACGAGCTCATCCTGGCTTGCTGCCGTGTTGTGTTTATTTGTGGAGAGGCGGTGGGAGGGGTCAGCGCACTCTGACCTACGGGAGCCCAAAGGGAGCGCCGGTGTTGCGGAAGTTCAAGAGAAAACTGATTTTAACTAAAAATAAATCTTACAATAATGTACACATATATCAACATTTTTCTTGTGCTTTGTTTATTTACGGCACTTCGTTTACGACACTTCTTTGTGTGATCCCTTCTAATTTCCGAAAGCATTTAGTTACCATCTTTAGGCGTCTCAGTGTGGTTTACGTGGAATATATGAGGAGTTATTCACTCAAGCTGTGTTTTACTGCCATCTAATTTTATACCTGCAGTAGGGAATTTTTCCTTGAGGAAATTGAGACAGATGTAACAGGGCAGAGTCAGGCAGTCTGACAGAAATGTTTTTAGTTTGCTTTTAAGTCAGTTTCAGCAGTTAAGAATTGATCATGCTAGCAGAACAGGTGTCCAGTTTTGTTTTATAGTTGCTCTACCCAGCCAGACATCCCCAATTTTCTTTGTACTTTCAGCTCTCGTCTCTATACCCCCTCCCTCTTTTTAACCATTCATCTCTCCACACATTTCTGCTATCCCTCCCTGTGTCAACACCCCTGCAGCCTTTATCATGATGAAAAATACTGAGAATCATTACCTGCTGTGTGCTACATACACTTTGACTCTCTTTGGCTTCCCTACTGTCTTCCTCGTTTTTTTTTTTGCTCTTTCCCATGTACTGAGGAGACAAAATCCAGTGAGAGGATAAGAAAGAGAACAGAAGGCAATGCAGAGAGAAAGAGAGAACAAACATGTCATGGATAAGGGAGAGGATCGATGTGAAAGACAGATGGGGGGAGATATAAAGTGGAAAGTAGGTGCTTAGTCAGCAACAGGGCTTACTGTCGGGAGCGGCCTTGAGCTCCATTACGGAAGTGAACTGGGATTTTTGAAACCCCCTGCAGCCCCCAGTATAGATGCTCACCAGAACTTAAGTTAGCTGGAAAAAGGCTGATGTATCTGTCTGCCTAAACTGTATTTTACTGTACAGTACTTTACTTTGACAACATTGCTAATGCGTGAAACACATTTAGCGTAGATCAGATAGTGGATTGGTCAACACTGGTTCCAGTGAACAATGTAGAGGTCACAGAATTAGGTCCTGTTAATCACCCTCTGTAATTTAGTGCTTGATTAGGCTATTCTGTTATAAATCTACACGACTGCTAGCAGAGGCTTTCACTACCTGTCTTGTTGTGATGGTGCGAGGTTGTGTGTTCGAGTAGGATTTTATTACCGGGGTTATCAATTAGCAGGAGTCAGACAAAACAGCCCTGCGTTAACATAACAACATAGGGGCTGTGTTGGTGGGGGCATGTTGTTTAAGGTACCGATGATACTCAGGTTGGAGTAACAGATTAATTTGTTTAATGGGTTGACACACATCCAAACACTGCACAGTGGGTTGTAATACTCAGTTGGGATTTTACTTCTCTATAATGGCTGTTTTTATTTTTTCACACAAGGATTGCAAACACTATAGGAGAAACTCTGCATTCATGTTACAAAGTAATCTAGCAGAAATGTGCACTTGCATGTATACGATTGGCCAACGCAACTCTTTGATGGATGACGGGTTGAGGAAACAGTTTAGCCTTGCTCAACTGTTTTGCTGGGCAACCTGCAAAGTTTTGTCTGACCTAATCTGTTTCTTTACATCTTTAACATCCTTGACAATGGATGATTTTCACACAGGAAATGACTGAAGACACCCCCCCCCCTTTTTTTTTTATTTTACCACTGTTGCAAATAATGCAGACATAAAAACATTCATCTCATTAAGTCCTGAACTTCTCAGCAGTATGCTTAGTTTCTGCTGTGTTCAGTTAAGCTTTAGCTGTACATAGTGGCTGATGAAAACAGGCACACCAGCTTCACACTGTGTGACAAACATAAATTAGAGTAATCAGTTCGTCACAGGGGTGTATAAAAAATGTATTCTCAAAATTTGATTAATTTTTTACAGGGAGTTCTATGCTTTAAACGTCTGTTTCTATTGCAAGAGGAGTTTAATTAAAAGGCATTGCAATATTTGGTGGTCGTCACTGAATTCTGAATATATAATATATCCCTTAAATGTTTTTAACACAGGTGAGAAGTATGTTCCAGAGGACCTATGGGGAGGTAGTGACGCTGTCCCCTCCAGGGGAAGAGGACAGGAGGAGCTTCTTCTCAGACCTGCTGCTGGTCCAAACGGCCAGGGCTCCGCCACGCCTCAGGAATACAGGTACTTACTGTAATCACTTAGGGACACACATGCAGGATGAGACGCTATGACTCATCTCTGCTGCCAGTCCTAGAGGGCGGTGTTGTCTGTGTGTACTTCTTTCCCTGCTTGCTCTGTTCTCAACCTTTCCCACAGTCCTTTTTGGATCCAGAGAAAGATAGAGGAGCAGATGTTATTTGATTGGGACGGATTTGGAGTGGATTTGAACATGTCAAACATTTAATTATACTTACAGTTGAGATTAGAAGAATACAGATTTAAGATATTGAGGGTTCCTGGATATCTCTATCCCTCACCCACATCAAAATCAGCCACCCTCCCACCACCACCTACAAATCACAACCCCACCTACAAATCACACCCCCATCCACTCCTCTAACTGCCATACATTGCCTCAGTCCTCAGTGCTCCCCTAGCCCTCTGTTCCGGTTCAATATGAGAGAACTGTCCGCCTGGGCTTTCAAATGGAAATGGTGCCCAGCGTTCATCCACAGTTTCCTTATTGATGCAAGGCAGGGGTCCCCCGCTTTACTCGCCCAGTGCTCTTCAGGGGTCCCCGCCTGACTAAGACAGCAGACTGGCTTCCAGCAGAGAGGCCAGCAGAAAAGCAGGGAGAGGAATTGCTATGAGAGGGCCCGGCCGCTATTAGCCATAATTAGAATCAGGGTTTGGATTGCTGCTAGTGAGTGAAGCGGCTCGAGGTGCTGTGGAACCTTCCTAACGATGTCGGCAGATGCCTTGGGCGAGGACTGGTGCCTTGGGAGAGGAGGAGTGGATATCTGCTTGCCTTGCTTTACCACTCTGTCATTGGCCAGAGGCTATTCCTTAGTGTATTTCAAAACCTGTGTTTGTGAAGGAGCAGAGCTGTATTATTTTCTTCAGCTGCAAAACATAATTTTTTGTCCCCGGGTAAATATCTTTTGGTCTGTGTCTGCAATGATGTTCAAAGGAAATGGTCAAGGATCAGTTTTGAGATGAGACCGTCTGGTTGTTCACTTGCAACCAATCTGCTAGCTTTGTGTTTATATTTTATATTTGCATTGTTGGTGTAGTGATTTGCCTTAAGCTGCCTTTGTGTTTTTTAGCTGTGAGCAAACACATGAATATTATTCATTTTCTTGATGTTAGACCTTTGGTCTTGTCTGCAGATGGAAGCGTGAAAACTTTATTTAGTTTGCATACTCCTATCTTTTATTCTTCTAACTTTTTGCTTGGTTCCCAACAGAGAGATGTAAAGAGGTACTGCCAGTGGCTGAGGCTCCAGGCCCCAGAGTCCTGTCAGCAGAGGAACAGCGCCGCCTGGCTGAACAGGAGGAGAGCACACTACGGGAGCTCCGGCTCTTTCTCAGGGACGTGACCAAGCGCCTGGCCACTGACAAACGTTTTAACATCTTCAGCAAGCCAGTTGACATTGAGGAGGTATGGAAGAATGGACTTACACCCTGGTATCTTATTCATAGTTTGACAAAACTTAAAAATGTAGGCCTTTATTAAAATGAACTTTTTTTGTGTGTGTGTTAGGTGTCAGACTACCTGGAGGTTATTCGGCAGCCTATGGACCTGTCGACTGTCATGACCAAGATTGACACCCACCAGTACCTGACAGTGAAAGACTTCCTGGTTGACATTGACCTCATCTGCAGTAATGCTTTAGAGTATAATCCTGACAAGGATCCTGGAGGTGAGGAGGAAAATTGCATGGAAATGCTCACAAATACACACATGCACATACATGTAGGGTACATACGATATGCGCATTTTGCATGCTTGCATTGCATATCGACTTGGTCGGAAAGCAAATAAGTAAAATCAGCCACATGCTGAAGACTTCTTTTATTCCCAAACTGATCCCTATGCCTAGAACTGACAGTGAATATCTATCTCTAACATGTCACACTTCTATATCAAGTTTTTGTGATGGCATATGACAGTCCCTTAATATTAAATTAGCATTGGACTATCCAAATACTATAACCATGTTTTTTTGCTATTGTTGCGTTCCATTTGGCTGCCATTGTGTGAGTAAAAAGCAATTAGATATATTTAACACTTAATGACTCATAAAGATGGCTTCCAGGCAGTAAAATTACAGAACCTCAAGATGTTTTTCTTCAACTTGTAAATTCAAATGAAATAAAGTGCATACAGCCCCCACTGAAAATAACATTTCTACAGTGTAATTCATGCTCCGTAGCTGAGAAAGGCTGCATATGCATGAAAATTTAATTGTGTCTTGTCTTGCAATTTGAACCCGATTTTTACCTCATCCTCCTTTCTCTCTCAGCACCTTTTTCCCAAGCCAAATATGGGCTTCATGATAATGAGTGCTGGAAAACACAAAAACACATATGCACACAAACAAATAAAGAAGCCTCTTATTTGCATTCCCCTTGAAATGAGCTGGATTTATGCTTATTGTTTAAATGAGGTGCTTGCTTGCGTGACAGGGAAAAGACCATGTGAAGAAAGATACGCGTTTGTGTGTACACTTTAAGGATAACATGGACAAGGCTGAGAAGAGCTTGTTGCACTGAAGATAATTCCACTTTTTACCAGAATCAAATCCTCAATCACACCATGATGTTAATTGAAAGCTGCTTACAGTAGGCCTACAGACCGTTCAGTTGATACGACCATTTTAATTCTCGCCTTGTGTGTTTAGCTGCTCCAGTTCCCTCGCAAGGATATAGCGGCCTGACGCTAATGGGAAGCAATTCTCTGCCAGCCCAAATGAATAAATCATATCTCTGTCTTTGCAGGCACGGGTCTGGGTCATTTGTTGGAATGCAGGGTCTACAAATGATACACTAAAGGGGAAAAATGCAATTAGGCAGTTTAATAAAGAAGACTAACGAAGCCTCTTGCCTGCTCACCCAGTGTTTGGCACAGGGAATATGGCCCAGACCCTGCACAATTATGCTGCTGGGGAAGTTCTACACCAGCTCACAAAGTGCTGGGAAAAAACCTCATTATCCCTCAGTGGTCTATTTCTCCTTGTCTTTCATACTATCTTTATCTTACCGTCCTCTATGTACAATCATGTTGGCTTCCTTTTCTTTTACCTCCTCACCTTGCTAAATAATCACTTTGTTATGCTAAAAAGGCTGATATTTTGGTGCTCCACAATGTGGCTCTGTGTCACAAATACTTTGTTGCTTGAGGGAAATGGGGATAACAACCCTTTGACAATGAAGGAACGCGTAAACAACAGCGTTGTATGTCAGTGCGGCAGACGGGGGGGTTAGGCAGGAACCATAAGGGTGCTGATGAGCTCTTGTCATCCCACCTGGCCTTTGACACCTTTTCCACTGACAGGCATTTTTGCCCTTATAATGCGCTTGCATTTACACACACTCATACATTCTCTGCCAGCAGATAAGTGCACGCTCACACACACACACACACACACAAATTGCCTCCATCGCAATTAGGCAGCCATCCTCCAATTAGACAAAGGAAGCTGGCAGATTGTGACCCCTCTACCACTCTCTGCCTGAACTGTTCTCCCTCTGCCTGCTGTAATGAGAGACTGCCTGTTTACAGTGGCTATGCTTTTAGCTTGCCTCTTCAGCTCAATCTTTATTTTCCCTCCATGGATGTAGGAGCTGGGGAAAAAAGAGGTTTTAATGATGTTGTGGTACAGCTAAGGGAAAAGAGGCATAAGCGTTCTAAAGTTGAGCGTGGATAAAGTCTGCATATGAGAGAGAATGAGTATGCATTTAAAAAATATTTCAGATTACACGTATTTGTGCCTCGTGCGTGTGTGCATGCACCCACCCTTTTCTAAATGGGTGAAGTAGTGATATCAAGACTTTCATGTATGTCTGAGGTCTGCCCGCTAAGATTTCTCACCAAAGCCAGCTCTATCCTTTTTTCAAACTGTGAGAAAATGCCACAATCCCCTTTCTCACAGATACAGTGAAATGGGGTGGGCTGGCTATTGACTCTTTGCCTTATATACTACATGATAGGATTTGGAGAACATGCATCATCAAACTGCAAACTACAGTCCTGCACAAGCTTTGATGGCAAGAGAAAAGGCAACTGTTATCCAAAAGGTTAAAACAATTGTTATAATGCAATGGCAGAGATTCTGGTTGATATCTTGTGTTACAAAGGACATGCCCTTGAACATTCATGCACACACATCCACACAGAAAACCACCATTTTGTGTCTGACTCTAGTGTTATGTTTCACTGTCTCCTTCTTTCTCAGACAAGGTGATCAGGCACCGAGCATGCAGTTTAAAGGACACTGCCCATGCTATATTTGCCTCTGAGCTGGACCCCGAGTTCGACCGCATGTGTGAAGAGATCAAGGAGGTGCATAGGAAGAGGGGTAAGAAAATCACCTAAACAAAGCAAAATGAAAAGAAGGATTTTTAGTCATTACAGTAAAACACACTAGCTATTGTCCGTAAAACTCCCAATTCTACACTGTTGTGCAGGTAAGGGGTATTTTTTAACAGCTATCTGTAAACATGCAGGCTCAAACCACCTTTATAAATCTTTTACGAGTACTTAGCTTCTTATGAAAAGTTTTGCAAGATCATAAACTTTAATAAGTCCTGTTATTTGATAAATACTTGTTGTTTTGTCTGCACTGCCCTCTTTTATCTAGGGATGGTTGTTTTTATTATATTATTGGTAGAGCTGACTAATAACACTGAGCTGAGCATCATTTGTTTATCTAAATATATAAACATTTTGGAGGAATACTTGCTCACTTGAATAATGAGGCTTAGCTAGTCCATTTCGGCTGTGTAGTTCCTGGCTTGCCCTCTCAGCCGCTCTCTTTTTTGTAGAAAGCCTACGATAGATCATTTCAGGGAATAGAAACCTGTTTTTAGGGGGAAAAAAATCTGTAGGGTAGCCCAGTAATACTTGATGGAGCAGTCAGTTTTTAATGTAGCGTATGTGGCGCAGAAAGGAGTGATGCCCGAGGCTCCAGTGTTCCAGACAGTACCTTCTGTGCTAGCTGTCTGCCTGGCGCTCTGCATCTGTACACTCACCAAACAGCCCCGAGCAGTACTGAGTGGATTTAGTGTAAATCTAAATTAGGTTTGTGCACATAGAAACACACATATACGATGTAGTTAAATGATACACTTTAGCCTTTAAGTATTTACTTAATGTAAGTGGTCAAATACTGAGCACAAAGGCATGTAATCGTATGCAAATATTCCTCTTGGTATACTTGCCCACATGGGAATAGGCTAATAAACACACTTCCTTACGTTGAGCCAGGACCAGCTGTAGTCGCCAAGGCAAAACATGTCTTTGTGTACGTGCAACTACACCTGCACAATATGCACAAAATATTACATTACAGTATTACCCGATTTACAGATTAATCTAGGAAGGAAGGCAATATGTTTGATCAGTTTGTTCCTATTCCTTTTGGTGTTTATACACACTTCCACAAACACTCACTGTGTCACTGTTCGTCTCTACAACAACAGGACAAAAAACATTGCTAAATTACACAGTATATGTTCAACACTCGTTGTATTTTTCTTCTTCTATTGATTGACCATGAATACCATTCCCTTCCTGCACTTAATAGATTTTTAATTTACAGGCATGAGATAGCAAAACCATTCTGCTACATCAGAAACACATCTAAGTGCTAAGTGAGTGCTTTTCCCAATTTAAAGAGATGAGATGCTGGCACACATCATTCCTCTTTTTAGTTGCTGTGTGCTCGCTTTTTTGGTTAAAATTTTAGAAATATTTTAAAGCTCACCAGTGTATTGAGGGAATTGCACAAGAAGCCCCAATTTTTCTTTTAAGACATTATCTACAGTATGCACAGCCCTAACCCCTGAGGGCCTATTGACTTCTGACTTTAGCCACAGAGGCCTGACTCTTCCATGTCAGGCGGGAAACTTATCAAAGAGGAAGCAATTTTCTGAAGTCACTCTGTTGCTTTTGATTTCCTCTTTTAGCAACTAAAAGCACAGGATGCTAAATGAATATTGCAGGAGCAGAAGTCAACTGCCTGAGAGGAGGAATACAGCAGTGTAAATATTTCATCTTCCAGTCAAGGTCCTGCTATAAAGCTATCAATTAGCCCAGCGCTGCAGGATGTCCAATTGCAGCAGTGTTCAAAACCCACAGTGCATCTGGGGGGATTTTCTCCCCCGTGACAAGATGAAAGGAGCTGTGATAAATGTGGCCAAAAACTTAAATATCATTTGATGTCAGAATTGAAATGTCTCATTTTCAGGGGCTTGCGTGTCTCCACACTCCACTTCTGTTTTTTTATTCCTGGCACACCCAAACTATCAGAGTGAAACATACAGCAGTTGCAAATCATATTTTGTGGTCTTTGTAGTAATAGTTGTGCTGATTGACATGTGGTTGTACCTAACTCACCATATCACAAGCCTTTGGTCATCTTTTTCTATTTGATCACATTTTTAAGTTCCTACCTACTCCTTTTGGTGTTTATACCCACATCCACAAACACTCTATTCTGCCAGCAGTATATTTCAGAAGTCTTTTACCATTTACACACACACACCCACACAATGAGTATAGCCTGTTGTCGGTAACTGATCCTCCGTGGTCACTGCAGACCTCCAGACGCCAGCTCAGCTGACGGCAGCTCCGGGTGCTGGGGCAACCAGAAAGCATCACACTGCAGGAGAGGAGCAGGCCAGGAGCAGCACTCAAGGGGAGGCCACTTACAAACAGTGCACCACTAGTAAGTATTCAAACCGGTTTCAGACCACACACTTATACAATTGCTACACAACCTGAACAGGGTGATTGATGAGAACTACAGAGTGTTCATGCATTTGTGTCCTCTTCATACCCCACATAATATTGCTAAGCAGGCAGGCATAAATCAGTTTCTCCAAGTACACTTTTACCTTTCTGTGTGTCTCACACATGCTCAAACTTTGGCTCTCTCTTTCTCCCCTTGTTTTTTTTTTTTGTCTCTGATGCAGCAGCAAGCAGCTGTGTTGTATTACAACAGTATACCAGATGTATGTGGTTCCACACACCTGCCTGCTCACACATACACAAGCATACACATACATTTCTCAGCAGTGGAGAAGCAACACACTGAGCAGCCTCATTAGCGAGGCTGCTCTCTCCTAACCACTCAGAACATGACCATGCCACAGAGCAATTACATGCCCACCTGTGGCAAACGGCAGGTGCCTAAGGGTGAAGGGAGGGCCAGGTATGGGCAGGGGGCAGACTAATGAGGCTGTTACCTGAGCGAATCAGAGGTAAGCAGGTTTTACATGTAATCTGAAAAATGCCCTCTAGCTTCCACCTGGACAAAGTAAGGGAAATGAGATGGGCTTAAAGAGGCGCCTTCGACAGAGATCTACAGAATCTAGAAAAGACAAGAGTATGAAGGGTAGGGTATGTGTAATGACATATGATTTGACTGAAAAAACATTCACTAAATTGTTTTGTCTGTGCAAATTGCAGCTGAGGCCTGTCCTGTGTGACATGAATGAATTTGTTGGCTGAAGCAGTAAGCCTTAGTAATTATAATGGTCAGTTGGAGCTAAAGTTTAGCTTGATTTTTATGTGTGTATGTAGTACAATTGTCCAACACAAGGTGGTGCTTTTCCCTCATGAGAGCGTCCCTAATGGCATCCCTGCTGTGTGGGTAAAACGTTCCTTCTCCCAGGGAGATGGTCCCGTCTTGAGAGATGAGGGCCACCATGGATACAGTAAGGCTCTGGGCATGTCTAAGATTGGACCTCACTGCAGTTTATCTTGTCCTGCTAAGCCAGGAGAAAATGGTTATATAGTAGTTATGTAATATTCAGACTTAATTGTTTAATTTTCCCCCAAAATAATTCAGTCCATGGTAAACTAATGGAGCTTCAGTTGAAGACTGCAAAATCAGAAGTTATCCAGTATTTTTTTTTTTTTTAAAGATTTATTTTAAGGGGTAGGTCTCTAGATGTGTATCATACACAATCTAGTGCAGTGCATTACATCACACTCGTTAACTATAGCTGGAATTGCCATAAGGCTTATTCAACATTTCTGGCACTTTGAACTTAAAAAGATACACAGATGTATCATACACTGCCTTGGTAGTTTATTTCATCACAATATTGTGCAGTTGTACCTAATAAACTCAAATTTTATTATCATGGCATATGTACTCAGGCTAACATTTACTTACAGTACTTAATTTATTGGTCATTAAACCTATATAATGTCTAACTGATCAAAACTATCATTCACATCGGTCACAATGTGAAACAAATAAAAGAAAAGTAAAGGAGTATATATTAATGTTGTTGTACTACTGTTAATCAACTAATTGATTAATTGTGTAATCCAGACAGACCTCTGCTTCTTTTTTAAGGGTGACAGCCAACAGTAGACCCGTATATGCTACTTTTAGCTGTAGTCGTTATCTTCAAAGCCAAATGTCACAGATGCGGACCACCAATTTAGATGCTCTTGGGAGAGTCGTTATCAGCCTCCACCAGAGGTTTAATTAATTAGACTAACTCAGGTGATTAATTTGTGACATCGGCAGCCAGTTCTCACCTGGAGCACCACAGCAAGGCAGCTATTAGGCTAATTGATCAGAGTCAGTCATGTCTGGAGGTTTGACACAGCCTCGTAATGAAAGTGCAGTGCACCTGGTGGAGGAGATGCCAATTTAATGATGAAGAAATGAACTGTTCATGCAATTGCACCCACTGCAGCCAGGTCATTTTGGGGTTGTTGGCTTTCCCTTCCTCTTCTGTGGAAGGTCAGGACACATGAAGGTTAAAGTTATCCTAGATCATTACCTGCAGGGGGAAGCCTATCTGGAGCTGTTTGGGTATCTGCAGTTCTATAGGGCTTTATCTGGGCCACCTCTCGCTCTCTCCTTCCATCCCTCTTCTCCGTTTGCCTAGAGCTAAGAATTGCCTGTGACATTCAGATATAACGGAGAGTGGTGGAAGGGATGAGGTGCACTATTTGGAACCGCGGAGAAAGTTACGCGAATGGCTTTTTGAAAGCTAAAGATATTTCTGAAAAAGGTGTTAAAAGCAGTGGCCGTGGATAAGCCCGGTTGTTGAGATCTAGATGGCCGGGGCAGCCGCAGCTGCTGCCAGGTCAATCAAGGGTAGGAAGATGGGAGACCTCGCTGCTGGTAATGCACAAGAAAACAGGAAGAAAGATGTGGTTTCCATTAGCCTGCATGGATAACTCCGTCATGGCTTCTCTGCTTCCCCATCTCTCACAGCCCTTCTCTCTACCCCGCCACCCCCCATCCCACTCCCCTGCCACTCCCTCCCAAGAGGAGCACAAAACCCAAGGCCCATTACCTGGGCCACAGTCCTGGGTTCATTCGTAGTGCATCACCACAAGGATCCGGTTCATATTGGGTGTCTTCCTTTCATTCATAATTCAGTCATCTCAGTTTTGCTCATTCACTCATGACTTATTTTTCCGACAGTCAGAAGGCATATGCTATTTGATTGCTTAACTAAATATCAATGTCTGATTATTCTCTTGCCTTTCTTAAATGTCATAGACTTAAGTGGTGTTCCACTTTCCAGATTGGCAAAGACCTTTCTCAGTCTGTGTTTTTTGGCATGGTTCACCAGTGTTTTTCCGCTGCCAGTTGACAAGATTGTCCTTATTCAACTGTTGAACTGTTTGCAGAAGAAAAGAATAACGATGCAGCCGCTGCATAATGTGTCCTCCGCGTCACTCAATAGCATGCCCAAGGCAACATCTACCAGGCTGCATTCATGTAGATAGAACACTGCTGTGTCTTGCCTCCCCCCTGCCTTGTATCTCACATCACAGTAAACAGACAGCTCCTCTCCCCATTGCCAGTGTCAATCCATCACAAGACCTTGATGGGATATTTAAAGTCATAATAAACACTCCTGCTTCCTATTACCTCAGGCTAAAGTAGTTGCTGCGTAAAAGGATGGCCTGGATTCTGTGCTCAGGACTAAAGGACAACACAGCCTGTGACCTGCTGTCATGGTTACAGTGCACAAGGAAGTAGGTTAATAGGAAAACACCTTTTTTGTTAAAAAAAAAACCACAAAGGGCTTTTTAAGATGATTCTATCAACTTGATTTTCTCATCTGTGTATTTTCTGTTTTCAATTATGTAGGACCAATACATTTACTGAAGGGAAAAGTATTTTTTATACTTGCAGCAGCTACAAACCAGTTGTCTATGGTGACGGTCTAAGTGTCAGTAAAGTCAAAGGCTTTACTGTACGAGTAAGTGCTACATTTGACACAACATTTCAGGTTGAAGTTAAGTGACACATGGACACACAGTTGGCCAGTTTACGTCACTGTATAAGCTGCTCTTTCAGTTCAAGCGTTTGTAAACACCCTTGAAGTCTTGAAAAGGTTAAAGGAAGACTTTTCTTTTTTATTCATTTGCTACTGTTCTTGCTTGTAGTTCTCACATTTTCTTTTCCCAAGTCACCCAGTCCCTCTGTTAAAATGTTTTCCTTCTTCGTCTCACATCTTTTCTTCCAAATTGGAAAATTGGAAAAGAAAAAGTGATAATCAAATTCTGCCCTGTTGTTGGTTGTGCCTTGTTTGGCTATTTGAATTAGAAAATGCAGCAGAGGATTTTCTTCCAATCAAATCTTTAAATATCTGTGTATGTCTTTGCATTAATAGATTTTCTTTTCTATATTAAAATTTCACATGTCAGTAAACACTGCATGTACCACAAACCCTTCTGAACAGCATCTGGTGCAGACTGCAGGTGATGAATGGCATCTTGTTCAGTGAATGCAATATTTCTTCAGCTCCCTAAGGGATAGAATTAGAACGTACAAGTGGTCAACATCAGAAAAACAAAGCACCTTGCCTGAAACCAAAAAGGCGATGTTATTATTAGTGATTAGAAATGGACACTGATTCTCCTCAAGCTACTTCTCGACTACCAGGCGAAAACAATCTTGAGTTGCACACTTTGACACCCTGTGGCACTCACTAATAAAATCCATGCAAAGCGTGCAAAGCCCTGAGCGAATAAGCGCTGAGCTTAAGCTGCCATTTTGTGGGCACAGATGCCTCTTGGATCATTGTGGCACCAAGCGTGAAATGAATGTAAAATCATCCATGATGCCTCTTGCTACCATTTATTGTTTTAGGGTGCAGATGAGCTGACATCAGTGTTAGTGTCTCTGAAGATTCATTCTGTGTCTGTGGGACTTTTCACTCTCAGCATATCCCTGTGTATAGCTGTGGCTGCGTGCTCAGTGTACACAATTGACAAGGTTGGGTGGTGATCCTCTTCACACGATTTCGGTGTCTGTTTTTTTATTACTGTGCAACGCCGATAACCATATATATTATTGTAAACAACCTGCATTTCAGCCTGAATTTCAGCCTGAAACAAATAGGCCGGGAGAGTTGCACTGGAATGATTGAGCGTTGCTGCTCATTGCCTCTGTGCATGCCCAATGACTGCAAGCTGTGCTGCCTAAGGATGTTAGGAAGGTGATTGGGAGGGAGGCTGCTGAATGCTAGACAGAGAGAGTTATAATGCTGACAATGCCCAATTATGATATATGGTTACTGTCTTTCCAGGAGCTAGGTCTAGTGTTATATAGATGATGCCAGGATTAGGGCAAGGGTGAGCATTTAATATACTGCCAATGTGAAGGTGGTTATTTTTTCACTGCTGTTCTGTTCTTCACCTGATTTCAAAGCTTTGCAAAGCTTCGTACAGTGTCCAAAC